GTAGATGAACTACTCGGTGAAATGTATTTTTCTTGAGCTGGTAAGAATAAAAATATATTAATGTAGCAACAGAAGAAGAAAACAGATAATTACTTGATACATATTTTCTTGCAATAAAGAAATTATGTATTTTTCTAGTCAGTTTGGATTTATTTTAATTTATTTAAACAGATTAAAGATTTCTGCAGGTTTGGTGTAACATTCCTGATATGCTGTGTTTAATGTTCTGTGAGCCATGAACACATTCAGACACACAAACACTTATAACCTGAGTCTGTGATGATGGGTGTAGACAGAGCTGCTAACCTGGTTCTGTTGGGTCTGTGTCTCTGGCTCCAGCCGGGCCTCGGCCCCTTCATCACAGAAAATATCTGTTTATTCAACTCATTTGGCTACATCTCGCTCAAACTTTTCCTTTTCCCTTCTTAGTATCTCTGCTCCACCCATCCCATTCTCCTTTCTTTCTAACATGTTTGTTAACTTCACCCGTGTGGCTCACCTCTTTTCTTTCTCCTTTTTTAATGTGGGAGGGGGAGCACGCCGGGCTATGGAGCTAAACTGGGGTCATAAGTTTTGTTCAAAATAGTTTTTCAAACAAAAAAAAAAAAGAGATTTGAAACTGAAAAATAATTTTGAAACTGGAAAATAAAACTGAAAAGATAAGATGCTTGAAACTTTTCCAGATTCTAATGTATTCTTTTTCATTTTCAAATATTCTGTTCAGTTTCAAAACCTTTTTATTTTGAACAAAACTTATGACCCCAATTTAGCTCCATAATTGTCTTGTTATAAAATAAACCTTCCAGTTATTTTCTTTTCAAATGTGAATTGAGTTTTGCTGACTGGTAATTTAAGAAATCGCTCTCCTCCATGGTTTTTCTCAGGTCCTGCATCTCGATCGGTCCCTAAACTCCAGGAGATGGTTAAAGCTGGGATGAACATCGCTCGTCTGAACTTCTCTCACGGCTCTCATGAAGTGTGTGGAGGAAACAGTTTGTCGCTGTAAAACAACTTGTGCACATCTGCTGTTAAACATATTTGCTTGTTGTTTTTCAGTACCACAGTGAGACCATCAAAAACATCAGAGAGGCAGTGGAGACCATCACCTCTGACCCCTTGTGTTATCGACCCGTGGCCATCGCCTTGGACACCAAGGGTCCGGAGATCCGCACCGGCCTAGTGAAAGGGGTGAAGATGTTACGTTTCGTAGATCAAACTGTTGTAATCAGGCAGTCAAATGAAGGAGGTGCAGAAAATGAGTCGACTATTTGCTACAGGTTGGAAAAACAACAGCTGTGGGCGGGTGCTGCTGCTCCGTCTTGTGTTGTTTTCTGGCGGGGAACTGGCTGAACACATCCCTCCGAGCTGCTGGCAGCCTCTTCGTGTCTTGATTAGCTTACAAAGTGCTCTGTGTGATCTCCACACTGGGCCCCGCTCCTCACGTGTCCCTAAAATCAACTTATTAATTTATTTGGGAGATCAAACAAAACTCGTTGTCTCTCTGCTTAATTTGAAGTTTTGCTACCTTTTGTTTTTGTTAAGCATATTATATTAGACATTATATTTACAGTTTATCACTCACTGCTGAGAGATACTGTGTGTAATTGACTTTAGCATGTGTAAAACTGAATATAGCTCAGTCAGTTTTACAGATATTGATCTAAAATTCAATGGGGTTGTAGCTGAGAATCATCCCCAATACACATTGTGCAAAATCTTTGTCTAAAACTTTGGCACTAACCAATGGTGAGCACAGTTCCACCAAGGAGAACTATGGGATCAATCTTGTGCCAGCAGGAACTAAATCTGAATTGCTCAGATTGAATCTGAATGTGCACAATTTGTAATTGAATGCATTGGTTTGAAAATGAATTTAACTAAATTGAAACTGAATTTAATGGTTTGAAACTGAATTAATTTGCTTTGAAACTGTATTTTGGTTTATTAAAAGTTCAGTTTGACTACTTTCACTTTCAGTTCCATAATTCAGATTTTTGTGTCACATCCTGGTCCTTGAGAAAGCCAGGCAGAGTAATCAAACACAGATCCACAGATTTACATTTTACATATTTTCACATTTCACAAATCTGATGATCTGTGTTTGATTACTCTGCCTGGCTTTCTCAAGGACCAGGATGTGACACAAAAATCTGAATTATAGAACTGAAAGTGAAAGTAGTCAAACTGAATTTTTCAATCAATCAATCAATTAATTCAATTTATTCATTTCATTAAAACAAAACAAATAATTTATATACAATGTACAATAAAAAGAAAAATGAGAAAAAAATATATATGTATATCAAAATCACAAATAAAATGAAATGAAAGACCAAAATACAGTTTCAAAACGAATTAATTCAAATTCAAGACTTTAAACTCAGTTTAAATTTAGTGAAATTTATTTTCAAACCAATGCATTCAATTTCAAATTATGAACATTCAGATTCAATCTGAGCAATTCAAATTCAATTCCTGCTGGCACAAGATTGATCCCATTTACCGAACCAGCTTCTCATTTAGTGGATTAGCTGTTTTTCTAACTTTGGAAACCATTATCAGACCGATTAGCTTTCGCTAAACAGGTTCCACTTATGGTTTCCAAAGTTAAGAAATATTTTTGTTTAAAAAGCAAAGGAGCATTTTTTTAATTCAGTGCAACCTTCAGTTTTTTTTCTAAACACACTTTCTTTTAGCATCTACCTTTAGATGATGAGTCATATTTTTTTATTGGAAACTAATGCTTATTTCTGAAAAAAAAAAAAAAAAGCTCTCCAAGCATTTTTCCCTGATTGTATTTTTTTTAATGTGTGTTCTTTGGACAGAAAGCTGAAGGAGAGGTGGAGTTGGTGAAAGGCAGCCACGTGCGAGTGGTGACAGCAGAGAGTGACAAAGACAAGACAGACGGGAAGATAATCTGGGTGAACTATCCCAGCTTGCATAAAGTCGTCCAGAAGGGAAGAAAAATCTACATGGACGACGGCCTCCTTGCTCTCAGAGTTACAGAAATAGGTAACATGTCATGTGCTTTACTAAATTTGTTTTCCCGTCTCGAAACATGCACTAAATCTAAAAAGAGATAATTAATAAGAGACTCAGTTTGTATTTGTTACTGTTATATTCAGTGTCCTGGGGAAAAAAAGATCAAATTCAATTCAGTTTTTTATATAGCGCCAAGTCTCAACATACATTGTCTCAGGGCACTGTACGTGGAAAAGAACAATCTAAAGAAGAAGCCAGCAGCATCAAAGAGCTGAAGATGTTGAGGTTCTCCAGAGCGATGAGGATGAAAAAGGTTAGGAATGAGATCATCAGAGGTACAGCACAGGCTGAACGACTTATAGGCAAAGTTAGAGACTGAGGTTGTTTGGACTTTTCTGTTTGGACAGAAAACGGACAGTGGGTATGTACTGTCTGTACGTAACTGAATTTACTTTGCTAACAAAGGACACACGTGGATACGCTCACACACAGAAGCTGACTAAAATAACATCATTGATGAACGTCTCCCACCCCATGCATGAATCTGTGGCTGAACTGGAGAGCTCCTTCAGTGACAGACTGCTGCATCCGAGGTGCACAAAGGAGCATCATCGTAGATCCTTCCTCCCATCAGCTGTCAGACTCTATAACCAGCAAAATGCCCAAAATCACAATAAGTGTTTACAAAAAACACAGTAAGTGTTTACAAGAATCACAATGTGTTTACAAGAATCACAATAAGTGTTTACAAGAATCACAATGTGTTTACACACCTGCGGCTGCACAATCATTTGTACTGTTACTATTCATTGTCATTACTCAACTGAACAATCATTTGCACTACTACTCTACTGTAATTGCACATCTGTGTTTCTTGTCTGCGTTGTGATTATACACTTTACAGTGAGTGAAAGTTGTCTTAGCTGTTAACGTTAGCATAGCATTAGCTTACTCTAATTTTGGAGGTTTAGCATTAGCAAAGCTATATTGTTAGTTAGCGAATTATGAGTTAGCAAAGCTAAATTTGGGTAAGCTTTGCCCACCACTGACTAGAACTTATAAGTTTTACAGTAATGACCTCATTTTTGATGTGGTAGATGATAATGAACCATAAAAAACACATTTTATTCAGGACTCTTTGGCCCATCCTTATGCTGCTCTGGTCCCCTGCAGGCTCCGACTGGGTGGAGGCCGTGGTGGAGACAGGCGGGGTCCTCTGCAGCCGTAAAGGCGTCAACCTCCCTGGCTGCGACCTGGTCGGCATGCAGGCGGTCAGCGAGCAGGATGAGGCCGACCTGCGGTTCGGGGTGGCCCACGGTGTGGACATGGTGTTCGCCAGCTTCGTCCGCTCGGCCCAGGACGTGAAGGACGTGCGGCGGGCTCTGGGGCCCCACGGGAGACACATCAAAGTGATCAGCAAGGTGGAAAGTCGGCAAGGAGTTCAGCAGTGAGTGGAGATTTGACATGAAAACCGTTTAGGGGTGGGTTTGTTTTTAAACCAAACGGCTGCTGAAGAGAATAATTAGATGGTGACAGGACTCATAAATCTATCAGTGCTGGTGGTCCAGCTCCTCACCACCACCCTGAAGACCCCCCCCCCCTCGATCTGATAAACGATCTCTGTCTGTGGAAATTAATGCTGCCACTTAAAATATCTGACACAGTTTATGTCGTGGCTCTCCTACTTTCATCATTTATCTGGTTTCTCTCTGGGCTCTGGGCAGGCTGCTCCCGGCGTTTAGTCACAGCTTTCATTTGGTGGATTTATTTTTCTTAATTAGATCTTAAAAATTGAATTTCACACCACTATGATCCAGAATAAGAACATTCACTGAGACAAGACCCTTTAGATACTGTTTTGTGTTATGTTTATTCTAAATACTTATTGTCACCTGCTGGCACCATGTGTCTGTTAGCAAATAATTTTCAATTCAATTCATTTATTTATTCATTTCATAAAAAAAATAATTTCACACAACAAAACATTGCAAATAAAAAAATGAAAGGCAGCAGAAGAAAATTCTCATGATATCTGCTCCTTTAAAAAGTATTTCAAACAATGATAAACCAAATAAAACAAAACAAAATTCAATTCCTCAAACGGTAACTAATACAAATTAAACAATTTCATATATTTTTACAAATTTTCTTTGATTGTTTTCTTAAAGGAATTAACTGATCCAATGCTTTTATAGTCATTTTCCAGATTATTCCATAGTCTTACCTTTTACTGAAGTGCATCTGTCCTTCAAATTTGTTCTGATTTTCAGTTTAACAAACATTTGTAATCCCTTCAAATTATAGCAGCTTTCCCTCTTAACAAAAGGAACTAATATTTATTAGTTCATGAAACAAAATTTCATGAACTAATAAACAAATTTAGGTAAAACTTGCAACTGATTGACTTTTGGACAGAGGCGGAGCTAGACATTTTTGCAAGGGGTGGCCAAGGTAGTTTTTAGTGGGGCACATACAAATAAAAAAAAACTAGTCTGGATTTGAAAATTCAAGATGGCCGCTAACTTCAAATGGCTCCAGGCTATCATTGAGCTGAAATTTTGTGTGCTTTTTAGATGAGAAAAAAGCTAAAAAAAATACTCCTGCTGATTGTTTGTTTGTCCTAAGATAACTGCTAATGTTAATTTCACGAAGGGCTAGAGTTTAGCCATTTTTAAACACAGCTGAAAATTAGCCTAGTAGTAGCTAAAAAATAATATTTTACAAAAATGGATTTCTAATATAAAATCCAAGAAGGCTGCCAATTCAGCAGTGGTGGGCAACGCTAATTCAAAATTTTGTTACACAATTTCTAAAGCGCTAGTCAACTTATTTAGATCCGCAAGTTCAAAAAAGCATATGCTCTATTTCTCATTGCATGCCCGTCTTCAACCCTTTAACACTTAAGGGTCAAAAAGGCTTAAAATGTCCGCCTGGTATTTTTGGCTTATTTTACCTGTAAAAAGGCCAATAATTGTCCTGTGAGTAAATAATTTTGCCCCTTTTTCAATAACTAAAATTTTCAATATCTGGCAGTTATTTAAAATTTATTGCATTTTAAAATAATGTATTAACAATATTAAATGAACAAAAACCAAAAATGAAAAAATTTTGAGGTTTACTAAGGAAAAAAATCACATCAAATGTATGTGATGAAATGATTTGATATCAAATGGTAAAAGTTTAAATAAATGTTAAAACTATAAATTTGGAAATTTAAAAATCTGATTACTCTGGGTACAAAGGAGTTCTATCATCTGTTACTCTAAAGTTCCATTTTTGCAGCCAGGGATTCGTATTTTACAATGTTAAAAACATACAAACATAAAACAGCAGCCATCTATAAATTTATAGATGAGATTTAAAAACTACAAGTTCAGAGAATTTAAAACTACAAGTTCAGAGATCTGATTGCAGTGGGTACAAAGGAGTTCTTCCATCTGTTTCTTTTAATCCTGGGAAGCCTGAGCCTCCAGCCAGAGGGAAGAAGCTGGAATTCTGTGTTTAAAGAGTGGTCTGAGCAGTGTAGGATAAGCCTTGCTTTTTGGACAGTACGACATAAAAATATCATTAAAGTGGGATTGGGTTACCCCACTTATCTTGTTTGCCGCAAAAACAATTTTGTTTAAGCAGTTTTTGTTGTGAACACTTAGATTTTCAAACCAATCAACTAAAAGGTTAAAACAGATTCAATAAGACTAATAAAAAAGGCTCATGATCCTTCTGTTTACAATAAAAGTGTTCAACTTCCATAAAAGCTGGAAGGAGATGAAGATGTGACACAGACTGACTGACAGTCATCTTAGTGGTTAATGAAGTTAGATTTTTTGTTAGCGGATTATGAGCTAGCAAAGCTAACTGTTTGGTTAACTGTGCCCACCACTGGTTATAACTTCTCATTTTTACTGTTATTAACCTAAACTTTGGTGTGGTCGTAGCTGAGAATGAACCCTGTTACATATTTTGAGCACTGACACAGTGCATAAAATATATATTTTAAAATTTTGGCATTTAATATTTAGAGTTAACTCTAATGCTGCACAGATCTTTAATAAAACTCTTAAATTAATAAATGGATGTTCAACTACAAGTGTTAACATTTGGAGTCAATCCAACTGAAGATGGCCACCACAGCTAATCAACATTAGTCAAGGAAAAATGGCTGTAACTCAGATATTACATGGCTGTAGCTGAGAGTCAATAACAACATACTCTGAATTTATGGCAGTTCTACTGAGCCCGCGAGGGGACGTGGGGGATTTTTTTTTTTTTTGCGTTTCCATGCAAAAGTATTGCGTTACCTCTCAAAAGTAGTTTATCACTGTTGTGCCTGCTGCTTTATTAACAAACTCACCTGCTCACCATTAGCGAGTTAGACTACTGCTTTAATTCAGCTTCAGAATGAATATATCACACAGCCGCGCATGGAAGTATGTCATATGCCGATATTTTAACACAATGCAGCCACGCAACATCAATGTCAATTTCACAAATTTGTGGCGACACATCCTGTTTTGGTAACCAGATATTTCAAAATAGAAGTCTGATTTAATTTAGTTAATATGCAAATCAAACGCAAAACAATATTGCGAGGTAACGCAAAATTATTGCGAGGGAACACTAAAGTATTGCGAGGGAACGCAAAGGTACTGTGTGGGAACGCAAAGGTACTGTGTGGGAACGCAAAGGTACTGTGTGGGAACGCAAAGGTACTGTGTGGGGACGCAAAGATACTGTGTGGGGACGCAAAGGTACTGTGTGGGGACGCAAAGGTATTGCGAGGGGACGCAAAGGTATTGCGTGGGGACGCAAAGGTATTGCGAGGGGACGCAAAGGTATTGCGTGGGGACGCAAAGGTATTGCGAGGGGACGCAAAGGTATTGCGAGGGGACGCAAAGGCGTTGCGAGGGGACGCAAAGGCGTTGCGAGGGGACGCAAAGGCGTTGCGAGGGGACGCAAAGGCATTGCGAGGGGACGCAAAGGCGTTGCGAGGGGACGCAAAGGTGTTGCGAGGGGACGCAAAGGTATTGTGTGGGAACGTAAAAGAAAAAAATCCCCCCATGTCCCCTCGTGGGCTCTGTACAGTTCAGTAATATGTAACAGCAAATGAAAACTACTTAAGGAGGCAATAAATTCAACAACATGGTTTAACATCATAACTATAGACAGAACAAAATGACGTTATGTGTCAACACAAGGTATAAGAACATGGACAAAGGCTCAACAACATATTTTTGGCACAAATGGAACTATATTTAATGCTCAATTTTTTATTTTGCCCTCATTTGATCATGTTATTAAATCTCCAAACCCTGATTCCTTCACTTCCTCTTTCCTTCCATGCATCAGTTTTGAGGAGATCCTTGCTGAGAGCGACGGCGTGATGGTAGCCAGGGGAGACCTGGGCATAGAAATCCCCGCTGAGAAAGTCTTCATCGCCCAGAAGATGATGATTGGGCGCTGCAACTCAGCTGGAAAGCCCGTCATCTGTGCCACGCAGGTCAGAGCACAAACACTTGAAGGGGGAGGCAGAATATGCAAATGTTGACTCTTCACTGCAATTCCAGGCGCTCGAGTGTCAAAACGAGGTCTGCGTTCGCTGTCGTTAAGACCTAAAAGGAGCAGATTAACCTCGTGGTTTAGATTTCTTTTTGCACTCAAACCCCAGAGAGACGCACACGCACACACTCCTGCAGCCATGTTGAGTCACAGTGCTGCTGCTTGTTTATGCTGCCCCTCTCGACTCGTAGTGACAGCGTTATAGCAGGTTTTCTACTCGAGACCTGTGCTCACAAACAACACCCACTCACAGGCTCTAATCAGCTTCATCTGCAGCTTCCTAACTGCAGCTACTCAGACGCTACTTCAAACCATCTCCTTTCTAACTGCCTGTCCTTTTTGAATCACGATGATGATCCACACCGGCCTGAAACAATGCGTGCTTTAAATGCTTCCAGGTCTCGGTTGAAACAGAGGTTTTTAATCTCAACGGGACTTCCTAGTTAAATAAAGATTATAAAATAATGGAGTCATTTATATCGGTTTAATTCCTGTAGACAGTGTTGTATAAAGTACCACAAAGTGATACTTAAGTAAAAGTACAAGTATCTTACCAAAAATTAACTTTGGTAAAAGTTAAAGTGCCTGTGACATGCCTATCCTTCAAATACAAAAAGTCAAAGAAAACATCTTTATACTTAAGAAAATAAGGATAATACACATGATTTTACCCATTTTGTCACATAACTTGCCTATTTTCTAATAAATTTGGCTCAGCCAAAGTGAAACAGGAAGTGACATCAAAGGGGAACTCATTATTAAAATAAACTCTCTGGTCTCTGTTTATTAAAACAAAATTATTTAAACGTTAACTCTTCTTTGTCTCTCTTTGATAGCGACTAAAAATAAACTAAAGAAATATTAGATTATTTTTTACAGTCTGCTGTTAGCTTTTGTAACAACGCTCTGTTCACATGCAGACATTCCCCTCTGACATCACTTCCTGTTTCTTCACAGGCAAATATCTCAACAACCGTTCATCTCAGCGACGTGAAATTTGTTTTGCAGCATGTTATCAATTTCATCTTTCCAAAAATGCATTCATCTTTATTACAAAAATTTGATGTAACAGGCACTTTAAGGTCTCCTTTAGGAATATTACTTGAGTAAAAGTCTTAAAGTAGCTGATATTTGTTGTACTTAAGTATTAAAAGTAAAAATTTTGATTTAAAATGAGCAGTTAGATTTTTTGTATTGACATTTTAAAGGAGGTGACCTCCCCAAAAACTGCAGAAATGACTGTTGTATTAAAAGAATGAATTGATGTTAAATTTAGGATGCACTAGTCCAGCTGTTTCAGTTTATATAGGCTTTCCTAAGAATAGAGCCAAGAGGAAGGAGGTACAATAATAATAACAATAATAATCCATCCATCCATTTTCTATACACGCTTCTTCCTTTTCAGGGTCGCGTGGGTCACTGGTGCCCATATCCAGC